TGCTTCCACATTTGTTTTCCTTTAAAAACTGTAAACCATCTTTTCTCCCCTTTTTCATTTAATTCCGTTCCGTTATTTTAACAAAAAGCCATGATAACTCTTATTAATTCATGTATACCTTATCACTCAATTAACTAATAAACTCTCTTCTTCTTCCTTCCATTCTCTTTCACAACAATCTATTTCATCTTTAATCGTTCGTCGGGTGACTGAACCAACGACTGAGTTAGCGCACAGACACAATCTGATACAATTGCCCACCAGTGATGGGTTTTCTGCTGACAGGGAGAGACCGGACCCGTAGCTACTGGCCCATCTGGACCTCAGGGATCTAGAGGCGAGCCCGGACCCAATGGTGCTGTTGGCCCCGTTGGTCCCTCTGTAAGTATACAAGGTTGTTTCCATCAAGGTCACTCTCCGGTCATGTGTAACACTGTTTCTGTTATTAGTCTTTTAGTTGACTCTGAGTCCTATAATTTAGTCATGATTTTAGGGAAGATTGGTGTCATGTTAACATGATCAGTTGAAAATGTGTTTTCTTTAAATAAAATGACTTGACTTTGTTTTCTTGGTCTTTCTCTCCAGGGTAACCCTGGTGCTAATGGCCTGAATGGAGCTAAGGGAGCTGCTGTAAGTATTTGACTTGAGACAAAAGTGCATACAAATTTCCAGAGTCGCACCAAGCTATCTTTATTTTGATATGGTTTGATATAATAGGATGCTATGCTGACCTGTTGACCATACCTGTTGTTTAGGGCACCCCTGGTGTTGCCGGAGCTCCTGGCTTCCCTGGACCAAGAGGAGGACCCGGACCACAGGGACCTCAGGGTGCTGCTGGACCTAGAGGCCTGGGTGTGAGTACATAAGAAACAAAATAGCCACCTGGAAACATTCTCTGTCCTTACCCCCCAGTACTGTCATAATTGTTCACAGATGATTGCTCTTCTGATTAACTGTGTCTGTTTATCTGTCTATTTTAGGGAGATCCTGGTGTTCAGGGTATAAAGGGAGATACTGGTCCCAAAGGAGAACCTGTAAGTTTATGTCCTTATAATAATTTAGAATTTGATCCAAATAAATCTGAAAACCTCTCTGTTGCACATTTAATGACCGTTTTGCTATGTTGTTTCCCTCAGGGTAACTCTGGACCTCAGGGAGCCCCCGGACCTCAGGGTGAGGAGGGCAAGAGAGGACCCACTGGTGAGCTCGGTGCTACTGGGCTTGCTGGTGCCCGTGGAGCTAGAGTGAGTCCCAGCCCGTCATCTTTAATAGTTTGAGCCATAAATGTACTACAGCCGGAGACATTTTACTGGGATCAGCCATTAATTCTATTTGTCTCCTGTAGGGTGCTCCTGGCAGCCGTGGCATGCCTGGTGGTGAGGGAAGAACTGGCCCTGTTGTAAGTATTCAATGATTAAAAAAACTCTTTTTTGCTTGAAATACAGGCAACATTAAGTCTCATAATTTGTCTCATCTGCCCTTTTCATAGGGTATGCCTGGTGCCCGTGGTGCTTCTGGTGCTGCTGGACCTCGTGGACCCCCTGGAGATGCTGGCCGTGCTGGTGAGCCTGGCCCAGCTGGTCTCAGGGTGAGCTTTTTACTAAATCCTGTTCTTGGATGGTTATAATTCACAGTTTCAGTAAGTTACAGAGACACCTCAAAGTGCAAGTGCATATTTGGCAGTTGTAGTTTTAAAAAAAATATGGAGCTAATATGGAGATGGAAAAAACTCTGAATTTCTAAAGTGAAAGTCTTCATTTCAAGTCTTAATTTTGTAAGAAATTATTAAGTGTTAGATTTACATGAAAACCCTGGATATTCACTGAGAATTTACTTACAAACGTCCATGATTAAAAGAAAAGAAAAACACAGGGCTTCACCTTACAAGATTATAAAAACCTCATAATGTGTAGACTCAGAGTATCATGCCTGCCTGCCTAATCAAGTTGTAGTTGCAAAGTCTGAACTTTCTATGCAAATTTCCATAAGAAAACTTTAATGGAAAATTCATGGCAGCTATTATTTTCCACAGGGTCTCCCAGGAAGCCCTGGAAGCTCCGGACCCCCAGGAAAGGAGGGACCTTCTGTAAGTAAACCTCATGAGTCATTCGGATTGTGTTGACGGGTATGGTGTGAAACATGTGCTAAGTAAATAGAATTTTCCGGCTTGCAGGTATGGTCGCTCCAGGCCGGCTGGACACAGGCGGGCCGCAGGGGCCCTCGCAGGCAAGGACTGAGCTGGTCCGGAAACATGGTGTTGTCCCTGGCCAAAGGCCTCTGGAAGCGTGGTCTCGCAAGATTTAAACATGAACGTATAGCCTCTGCTGTGGTTCAAGTTGAACTAAATCGTACTAGTAACTATTACTTAAGTCTGCTGGGTGTGAGAGGGGCTGTGGCAAGCTGGAGAAGGGGAGCCCTACTTGGCGCCCACCGGACTGTGAGAGTAGTCACAAATAAATGAAACTGGTGAATAGTTGGGGAGGGCCAGGAGTAAAAGCTCACTCTCCGTCTGTGGCTGAGGGACCCCTGTGGACCGTGAGGGCAACAGGAGCCACTGGGCTACGGACTGCGGACTGTTGCGTAGGTGCAGGCGATGGGAGTCTGGGACTTAAGACGAGTGCCAAGCTCCGTGCTGGCTCGCGGCTGCTGCTAGTATGGTCGGTCTCTGCGGATCAGGAGGACTGGGAGAAGAGGCAGGGAGCCTGTGTGCTGGGCTCCAGTGTGGACCTAATGTGTCTGCGAAGATTAGAAAAGTGGCGGTGGCCAGGTGTGACAGCCAGGGTAGTCCAATTTGGGCTAAAGCGTGTAGTAACAGTGGCAGCGTGAGGTAGATCAGGCGGGAGTATTGTCTAGGGTAGCGATGACCCGTGCTGTATTGCGTGGGAGGGGCGCAGCCGCGTAGGACAGGGATAGAGAAGGTGGAAACTGAATTGCTTCAGCTAGTCAAAGCATTGAACACGTCTCCGAACAAAATGCGCTGTGTGTTAGCGTAGCCCAGGTTGAGCTCTTTCAGGACCTCGGGAGGTGGAGGGTCCTGGCAAGGGGACATCACCTAGTCGCACACTCTATAGTAGACATAGGTCGTGCCAAACAGAGTGTCTCAGCAAGGAGGAGGTGTAACTGAGGAGCCAAGCTGGGAAGTGTGCATATGTGTCCATGATGCATGCAGGCCACTTAATTCAATCGCTAAGAAGGCCGCCGATTTAAGTATTGACTAGTGGCATGTTGAATACCCGCGAAAATGCGCTGACAGTGAGCTCTCGAGAACAAACGTGTATGCGTGCATTCAATAGAGATAAGACATATGTGCTTGGTGCTGGCTAGCTGGCGTACACTTGTCTGGTTTTTGGTTAACCGTGTGGGTTGTTGGGCAACGTAGGCAGCTACTGGCCGGCTGGGACTCAATGGTGTGAAGCCGTTGTTGACCTGCGGACCTCCGGGATCGCTGTGAGGGGTAACAGGGACATATGTGATCTGACAGAGATAAAGTGGAGTGGGAGGGCGGGTGCCTGGAACCGATGTGTTTACATGTGCAGTTGCCGTCTGGCTGTGCACGGAACTTGGTTCGTCCAGCTAGAATCCGTGCATACTCTTGATCCAGCAATGCCCAGCACGTGCGGACTGGATGCTAATCACGGTGTGGCGGGACTCGGGGAATACCTTGGTAGTGTGTGATATGGCGAGGTCGTAAAATGATAATGAGAGTAGTGGAAATAGGACACAGATTCTGTCAAACTATGTGAGTGCGGGCAACGATAACAGTGACCCCAGCGGGTTGCTGCGCACCTCATGTGGCTGGCTGATGAGCTTGTGCCTGAGGCAGCGGCGTGTTGCACTGCAGCAGGCGGCCGGGTTCTGGCTTGCGGCCCCGTGAGTGCTTTGGGGAAGTGTCTGTTGCCGCCCGATCCAAGGAAAGAAGGAAGTGGCTGTAAAATTATTCCACACAATGACTTACCAACGCATTGTGGTGTGTATTGCGAATGTGGAGTGTGAGATAGTTGTGTTCGCGGGGTGGGGAGAGGATACTCCCTCTATCTATAAGGTAGCATGTTGGGACATCAGAAAACCACACAATCTTTAATCTCGGCGCATAAGACCGGGTCTTGATATTTAGATAGGGCCTCTGAAGTGCTAAGAAACTACTCCAGAGTCACTTTGTTAGCATAGTTCTCCCAAGGGGTTTACTAGTACACTTTTGTTCTCACCACACCGTCAAGCTTTCCGTTTTTCGGCACCCGGGTGGGGCCCCTGGTTATCCTTTCTGCGAGGTCGTACACAGCGTTGCACTTGCTTCTCCCAAAGTAATGCCGGGAGTTTCCTCCCTTGCGCCTGACCTGGCAGTTGGATCCAGAAACCCTACGGTGAGACTTCGAAGCCCACTATCATATTAACAGATTAATTTGTCTAGTGTTGTCGACACAGCATGTGATAATTTTACAATAGTTGCATTAACAACTTATAATTCCCTTGTAATTGCAACTCCTTACAAACACATGGAGTGTATAATTTGAATGTTCATAATGAGATAAAAATAATATAGGAAATATTTCAATGGTGTGTATTGGTGTTGTGTCTTGAATAATGGTACAGAGTGTGTCACCTTTTTGAATGGGGTGGAAATAGTTTATTCGTGTGCCAACATGGTCCATCCACAACCCTTTCTTTAATCCGAATGTAGTTCCAGTGGTTCTCTTTTTTCATTTACTCAGCCTGAATATATGCCTGTAAATAATCTTGAAGTACAAGTCTATTGCATCAGAGCACCATTATTTTAACAACTTTTTATGGTTTTTAAGGATATGTACTCAAAACTGTTGACCGGTTGGGGGAAGATATAAATAGCCATATGTTGTCTCTCATCTCCACTGATTTAAAATCGTAAAGTGTTGATTCTGGGATAGGCTCCAGCGCCCCCCGCGACCCTGAAAAGGAGAAGCGGAAGCGAATGGATGGATGGATGGAATGATAGGAGCCAAAAAACTGTGAGTAATAATCTGGAAATATAGCTGTGTAATAAAGTGGTAATAGTAGTGTGACAAGGCAGAAACAAGAGTCCCTATATATAATAATAAGAAGAAGTAATTGATTCATCTATCCCATGTGGTTATGGTTTGTAATGCTGACAAAAATCCACCTGATGGCACTCTGGATGTAAATGGTTGGTTTGTTTTCTGCTCTAACAACCAGAAAGTCAGAAACCAAAAGAAAAATTTTAGTTGCAAAGTTTTGGATTAAACTTTGGTTCCTAGCAATAGTAATAATAGTAATAATTTTGACATATGATAGTGTTAGAGGGCTTAGTGAACAGAAGTATTTAACTTGACAGAAAAAAAAGAACTTAAATGTTTAAAATTTCTTCAGAAAGTTCTCAACCAAATGGTTAAGTTTTCACTTTATTTTGCTAATTCAAACATTAACGTAAATGTTATTAAAATTAATTATTTGCCATAGAATCAATCTACTGGACCCATTTCCTTATCCATTGCTGTTAATTAATCACATTAAGTGTTAGCACAGCAAGAATATGCTGAAAAAATTTCCTCAATAAATTCCTTAATAAATACTCATTTATTTATAAATTTTTAACTTTCTGAGTCAACATTAGTAAATATTTAAAATTAAAAAGTAAACCTGGAAATCATAATTATCAATTATGATAATAAAATAATAATAATAATTCCCTTTTAATTAAATGGCACTAGCTTGTAAATGAATATTGCAAATTGTCAAAATTATAATTAAATGTTTCACAATTACTAGACGGACACTAAACAATTCTATGGCTCAAGACCATGTGCTCCTGTGACTGATTCATGAGCAATGTTCCCTCTAAGCTGCGCACGTGCGCAGTCGTGCACTACTGGCACGGTCTCCGCGCACAGAAAATCTGCATTGCGAACAAAAAAAAAATCGAATCTCAATTGAAATCAAAGTAAATACGTTTACAATTCATTCTGTCTTGCAGTGTGAGTCAGTAAGTGACTGGTGACTGGCTGCTCCAGCCAATAATGCGATTCACATTCGTATATACGCAGCTAATCAACGTCGTTGACAGGCTATGACAGCGTCCTTATGTGCCAACACCAGTGTTTTAGCGAGCAAAGTGGCGTGGCTGATGTGGAGTTAAACCATGTTAGTGACAACGTGTACAACTACTGGAGATGTGAGCAGGACAGATGGAACAATTGACGGAAAAAGTGTGGACTTTATACCAGTTTTTAAATTGTGTTGATAGGCCACGTAAAACCAGAGTTATGATAAAAATCTCTGCAATGTTTGGTTTTCTTCCTGAATACTATCTTTGTTTATATTTACTGAAGAAACGGTAAAAACACGTTTTATAAGGAAAGCGCTCAAAAGCGCTCTCCGCCTGTGAGCAAAAACAAATCCAAAAAAACCCAGCCTTTCCTGTTGGTGGAAAAATGTACCATGTCCACCAGTAAAAAATAATATGGCAACATGGCATTTAGTTGTTTAGGAAGGGGGAAGTTTTAGGAGTTTAGCGCAAATCTTGTGTAGTTAGTGTGTAGTGTAGTCAATAGTTTCGTTGTGTGTGTCAGAGCAATGAGGCTACTGCTGAATGTTACAGGAGTGATACATCTCCTGTTGTCAGGCCTGCAGGTACCAGGCTGTTGTTCTCCTTTATCTCATAGTGGACAGAAATTATTTTGATGCAGAACAGCTGATTGTTCTGTAAATAGTTTGAAATGTTTATTTAAAAAAAAGAGCCTTGGCTGCATTTTTAGGTAAACAGCTGCAGAAAACGTTGTTGTTTGCAAAACTCGGTTTTTTGATGAAGTAACTATATAATTAATTGCCCAACATTGGTCATTATATCCTGTATTTTGCAGACAGAGTTACAGGACTACCTCCCAGACCACAGACTCATACTTATAATACAAATCAGAGCTTTATAAAAGAAAAGAAAGTTGTATTTTCAAAATTAGAGTTCAAGTTATTTTTACTTCCAAAAGTGTTAACATACTACACAGGTCATGAACAAGATTTTTTTTTAATTTTCATTGTAAGTGGGCTAAAACAGTTATTTAAAAGTAGTCTAACATAAATGTAAATGCTGTAATTTGATTATTTTAATAAACCATGTTACTTGCATGGATTCGATGCTGGCGTGACCACAGTGCACATGTCTAATGTTGCTTACAGTGGTCCAAGGGACCACTGAGGGAATTTGTGTGTTTGCTCAGACATTGTTCATGAGCGGTGTCTTCTGATACCATACACATACAAGCACAGTGTTTCTGAGTTCATGGCTTCATAGAAAAGCGCAAGGGCTGGGGCTCTCCGCCTATAGTTCAGTTTCAGTTTATATTGCCAACAAACAAGATAAGTGGGGCTTTAAATTGTTCTGTCGAGCAAGTTAATTTGGTATCATCCACGACTTGCAGCTATATCAAGGGGAATCCATGATCTTTAATGTTACCTTCAGTGAAGAGAAAAAGATGCTCCCACCCTCCCTGATTTCTTTTGTCACAACTTCTTCACAAGTTTCAGCTTGGTCCAGATCTTGCACTAGCATTTAATCAGAGGGACAAATATGAGTATTTTTGTTCTGAATCACTTTTTAAATGCAATATTTTGTTATTCAATACACAATTTTCCTTTGAAGGAATGAAAACCAGCAAAGTTCAGTCACATACTACTAGAAATAAACTATATCCAGTGACTTGAATAACATTTTATACGTAAACTATTAAGAGACATCTCAACCATTTGGTAGAGATCAATATTTAAAAAACTATAGAGTCTATTGAAAAAAGTATAAGTGATTGTGGTTATTCCTCACCCAAGTCAATGAGAAATGCAAACATAAACTCCATTTCATTTTTCTTGGTGGGGTAGTTAAAAGGATAAGTAAGTAAGTAAAATTTATTTATATAGCACATTTCACATAAAAATCACAAAGTGCTTCACAATAAAATCAGACATACAAGATGCTATCCATGTTCTTCCGCTTGTCCATTTCAGGGTTGTGGGGGTTTCAACACCACCGACCTGTTGCGCCTTCATCACTGATTGACCTCTAGACATCCAAAGATCCAGCCTCCTGCAGCAAGTAGCACCAAGCTGCCTGCTTGCATACTGAAAAATTACGGGCTGTCATATTGAAAAAAATGCCTATTATTAGAAATAAATCACTACAAAATGTATTGGGGATGGATAGTTGGGATATTAGTATACCATATAGTATATATAGTATACCATACCTCCGACCCCCTCACCTAATCTGTTGAAAACTGGACTGCAGAATTTTTGGAAGAATATGCATGAAAAAAAAAAATCCCCTCTCGCTCCTGCAGGACAATCTTTATCCTTCAAGCTCAGGTCGTCTACCAAAGGTCTGAGAGCTCCTGTGCTCCTGCGCAGTATCTTTGCTGTTCCTAGGACTGCCCTCTTCGGATGTTGATCCTGGGATCTGCTGGAGCCACTCGCTTAGTTTGGGGGTCACTGACTGGGTGCTCCAATTACCACTGGGACCACCGTTAGCTTCACCCTCACATGGTCATTTTCGACCATCCTAGGGGGTGTCTCCCATTTTGACCTCAGGACTTCCACTCCATACTCAGCACAGATGTTTATATAGATAGATGGATAGATGGATGGATGGTTATAGCAGAATTTTGATATGATAGTACTGTAAATTAACTGGTTATTACTTTTGTAATTGCACAGCAATAATCTAGAAATTACCAAATTATTACATTAAAAGTTCTGTTTTCAATATCATATTAGTACATAATATGGTTTTTAACAATGTAGCTCATCCTGTATTTTCTCATTTCATCTCCACTGTGTTTCAGCTGTGATCCAGACTTCTTCCAGAGAGTGTGTACATCCATTTCTGTAAGATCCAGAGAGGAAGCCCAGCAGCTGGAGTCTCTGCTGCAGCTCCTGGGCTTCCAGCTGCTGTTAACAGGAGAGTTACACAGGAAAAGCTGCTGGTCTGTGGGGAGAGTTCTCAGACTGTGTGGCTCTAAAGTGGATCTCATCCTCACACCCAGCAAGATGTCTGCCAGAGGAGCCGCTCTCCTCTTTAGACACACAACACAACTACACAGTCTGAGGCAGGAAGTGAAATCATGACTCTCTTGTTCTTCTAACACCATTTATCTGCTGTCCACTTTGAATCTTTGGTTCTTGGTGTTCATCATTTCTGCTCTTTTGTCTCTTTGATCTTCAGGCTTTCCATCGACATGTCCTTGCTCATGTTTCAGTGGGTAAGAAGAGGCAGAGTGGTCTGTCCACTGGCTGTGGAAGAGCTTTCTCTTGTGCCTAAGAAAGCTCGACCATCACAGAGAGTGATGTTGAGGGCTGTCAGTAGTTTGGCTTCCCTGCTGAGATACTGGACAGTCGGACAGTTAGACCTGACTGAGACCTGCATCCCTGCTCAGGGTCTGATTACACTGCTGCTCCATGATGGTCCTCTAACAGTCAAGTAAATGTCTTTCCTGAACATCACAGGCCAAATAAAATGTACAGTTTTACTTTAAAGCTAATTTTATATTTATGATCTCTGCAGACTGAGTGAAGAGAGCTTCCAGCAGCTTCTGTGTCTCCTCCATGAAATCCAGGACAAGGACTTGACGTTGTCCTTCTTCAGTAAGGTTGGTGGAGACCTGACCTCCTGCTGTCTGAACTGGGAGCTTCTTCACTATCTGCTGCAGCAGGCGTCAGCTCAGACCATCACTGTGAACCTGAGGAAGAACCTCTTCTTACAGGAGGAAACCACACGTCTGCTTCCCTTTCTGGACAGGATTGTGTTTAAAAGGTGCTGAATGTAGTTTGATCTTTTACCAAACACAGTTTCTGCTGTTTAATCAGGAGGATTTGAAATGCTGTCTCATCTTTAACCAGAAGTTTATGGAGCCTTTAAACAAAGTTGGAAATAAACTGTTTGTTTTCAGGCCCAGTCCCAGCTTTGTGATGAGCTCCATCAGAGAGCTCTACAGAGCTCATGACAGTCACGCTGTACCCAGTTTACTGAGGTCACTTGGTCATGTGATCAACCTGAGCAGCAGAGAGCTGGACTCAGTGGACTGTGCTGCTCTGATCTTCATCCTCAAACACGGAGACAGAGTCAAACTGAACCTCCTGTGGACCTCCATACCAGCAGAGGGAGCAGAGTCCATCCTCTTCATGCTGGACAACGTTTCTCATCTCAGGTCAGATATTTGTGGTAAATGTCATGTAATATGAACACATAGGTTAATCTTCCTACAAAAGGTCAACATTTTGGCTTTGTACTAATTACCTGCTGATCAGATTGTCCAACAGTAAACTGAAAGAGAAATAAACAAGCCCAATTACACCGATTAAAATCATCTACAACACACTCTTTAACATTCGGTACTTCTGCATTTGTTTTTTCCTTGCAGTGTTGACAGGAATCAGCTGCTCAGGTTCATCCACTGCTGTGCTGCCTGTGACGTCCAGCAGGAGGCAGCGTCAGGCCTGCTGAGGACTCTGCAGCACAGCTTGGATCTGTCCTGCTCCTCCTGTGTGGAGCTACCAGAGGAGGATCAGCCTGAGCCTCTGAGTCTGACTGCTGATGACTGCAGGGCCGTCTCCACCATCCTGACACACAGCAGCCAGGACACACAGCTCGACCTGCGAGACTGTGAGGTGGAGGACAGCGTGCTGGACCTGCTGTTTCCTGTCCTCCACAGGGTCCGCCTCAGGTGGGAAAGACCACAGAAGAGTCTAAACCAGAGAGAAGCTCGTTCACACTGGTGTTGATGCATCCTGACAGTTTCTCTTTGCTCTGTTTGTCCTGTTTAGAGTCAGTAAAACTGTCCTCCTGCAGCTGCTGTCTCTGGTTCCTGTGAACAGTGAGAGGGACACAGTGAGGCGGGCGGTGTCCCTGTGTAGAGCCCTGGGTGGAGAGCTGGATCTCAGTCACAGCACGCTGGATCAGAGGGTCTGTGGGTCTTTGGTCCAGATGCTGGACTCGTGTGAAGGGCTGACAGAGCTGGACCTCAGTCACTGTCAGCTCACTGACCAGCTGCTGCTCCCTCTCATCACACATCTGCACAAAGTCCAAGTCCTGGAGTGAGTGTCACACACTGATCCTTCTCTGGGAGGCACCAATAACCATCAGCCTGTTCACACACACTACAATAATATGATGTGCAGCGATGACTTAGAGCCACTTGTTGTGTTTGTGTTACAGTCTGAGTCACAATCAGATCACTGATGCTTCGACTGATGTGTTACTGCAGCTGCTCTCCATCAACCCCTCCATCGACTGTGTGCGGTGAGCCAACATGAATCAGTCCCCATCAGTGAAGGAGTTTCTCCTCAGACTCTCAGAGGAATCATTCACAGTCTGAGCTCACATGGATTCATGTTGTTCTGAGTGAATGAGTGACGTCTGCTCTCTCTGCTTTGGTCTCTTTCTAGACTCTACAGCAACAACATCGTGCACAGAGCAGCCTTCAAGGAACACAAGCAGTTTGAGATATGGTGAAGCACTTGTCATCATTAGGGAGGAATTCTTTAACAGTCCTCTGATAATCATTAGATGAAAATATTGGCTCGAAAGCATCAATACTGTGATCATATTAGTCAGTAGTGTAAGATAGTAAAATCAGGTTAAAGAGGTTTGATAACAATTAGATATTTTTCTTTAATATCATAATTAAGAATGTGGTTTATATAAAAGCAAAGCTCATATAGTTTTTTATTCTTTTTTTTCTGAAGTGTGCAAGTCTCACTGACACTGCTGCTCCCTCTCATCACACATCTGCACAAAGTCCAAGTCCTGGAGTGAGTGTCACACACTGATCCTTCTCTGGGAGGCACCAATAACCATCAGCCTGTTCACACACACTACAATAATATGATGTGCAGCGATACTTAGAGCCACTTGTTGTGTTTGTGTTACAGTCTGAGTCACAATCAGATCACTGATGCTTCGACTGATGTGTTACTGCAGCTGCTCTCCATCAACCCCTCCATCGACTGTGTGCGGTGAGCCAACATGAATCAGTCCCCATCAGTGAAGGAGTTTCTCCTCAGACTCTCAGAGGAATCATTCACAGAACGTAGAATGCCCAAAATAATAATAACAACAACATATTTGCTTTACCTTGAGACAAGCTTTCAAGCACTTAAGTCAGAGTTTTTATTCTGAGTTGATCAAAGACCTACAGCAGCAGAAACAACAGTCAAAGAGTACAGGGGTACTGAGGAAAAAGTAGAAAAACAAAAGATGCACTTCAGAAACTCTAACAAAACAAACAAAAAAACTTTAAGTCTGTTATGTAAGTCACTTCTAACTTCATTTGCTTCACAATAGTTATGACAGATTCCTAATTAGCTTACTAATCAATGAAGGCAGAGGGAAGTACACAGCTACAGAATCCAAACGTCAGACAAACGTCAACAGGAATCCAAACGTCTGGCCAGCTTCAGAAAACAAACAGGCATTTAGCTGTTTTCGAGGACAAGCATTTATAGCAGAAACCTGAGATTTTTTAAAAAAATATATGCTTTTCAAAATACCTTTTAAAAGCTCCTGTTCAGGTTCTGTGGCATAACTATCTGACTCACTTTGCTCTGTACTAATGTTAGATTGCTGTAGTCACACAATAATTATTTAACTGCAGTAATGTCTTAAAGTCATAAAGACCTGGATGAACTCAAATTGCCTGCTTCTAAATTCAGATTAAACTGATTTTATTAAAAATCTTAGAAACGTTGTATCGAACCAGATACTTTCTCTGGATGGCATTTTCTCTGCCTTCAGTAACACTGTGAGGAATCTTGAAGTAGTTTTTGATCAGCATATGTCCTTCAGTGCACATAATAAAGACATATGCACGACTACTTTCTTCCATAATATCTCTAAAATCCTGTCTCAGAGTTATGGTAGGACAGGATACTCTTCACTGGGTCCCTGTTAAATCCAGAATCAGTCTCCTCACATACAAGGTGATGCCATCTAATGTATGCACATTTAAAGTCTGCTTTTCTTGTGTTGTTGTAGATCAGAGGAGGAGCAAACAAAGGAACTTGAAGTGGAGATGCTGGAAATCCAGGCGGCAGCTTCATCAATAGGTACGACTTTAGTAGTTTCTCTCAAAAGATAAGTAAGGAACAAACACGAGTATCTGAGTCTTACAAATGTCAGTTCTTCACACAAGTGCTGCTGATTGGCTGAGGAAGAGTAAAGTAGTCCTGGTGAACCCACAAGAGGCAGACTTGGGCGGGTGTTCACATACAAACTGTGTCTCATCATTGTACATACGCACAGTAATGACACACCATCATTGAGAGTCTGGATAATTCAAAGGTAGCAATTTTAAAGTGGAAGTAAGTAGAAAAAAATATTTTTCTCTTAAAAAGAGATCAAAGACAAGGTTTAAAACATCTATTGTGTTTTACTGTATTATTTATTGCAAATAGAAAAAAAAAAGCTCTACTACAATTACAAAATTTATCTGATTGGTGTTTTATTTCATATTATCACAGGGTAACATTTGAATAGTTTAGATTAGTGTACAGTGTTTCCTGTTAGTCCCCTCTATTAAGTGCCCATTTATTTCAACTACATATTCAAATTATAACAAACAGTTGAATACGTATTTTAGTATGTTCAAGTATATTTAGTAATTTATATATTAGTATTTCAGTAAGTTCCATCAAGTTATTTTACATATTTACTTTTTTTTTTAAAGTAACGCAATAGTTACTTTTCCTGGTAATTAGTTACTTTTAGAATATTGTAACTCAGTAACTAACTCTGTTATTTTTTTTGAAGAAGTAACTATTAACTATATTGAATTACATTTTCAAAGTAAATTGCCCAGCACTGGTCTTTACCTTACAACATAAAGCACTTTGACATGACTTTTGTCATGATTTGCGCTATACTGAATTGTGAAAAATGTAACAACATCAACAAAAATATCCCAAGAGAGAGATTACTTGATCTGCTCCTGTAAATGTGTGACCTTAGAGCCAAAAAAGTCTTTTACAACTTTTAAAACAACCCCTTCAGCCTTTACTCAAATTTGCTAGTGAACAGGCCCTTAATGTTAGTCATCAATAACACCATATTCATGTGATTAACCTCTAAATAAAACATAACATTAAACCATCAAAATGTTTGTTTTAAATTCTACTCGGATGAAATTTTAAAAGCTGCAGCTCTCATATTTTAATCAGTTGAAGCTTATGTCGCTGTGCATTTATGTCAAGATGGCAACATTGTCCAGCAAGTTTGAAGTAACCAATTATTAAGATTGAATTATGTTATGAAAAGGTCCCATACCTCAGAACTGAGTTTGGCAGTGTTCATCCTGACTTTTTGTATCTATTTATTACATTTTTTATTTTGTTTAGTCTTATAGCCAATAAATGGGAATATTAGAATCTTTGTAAACATAGCCACTGTAAGGAAGCAGATACACAAAGGAAAATAACTACTAAAATACTGCACTATACAAAAATCTTCAGCCACCTTTCATTCTGCTTCCATGACCACTTTGTCATGGCTGTGTGCTGTGCAGGTAGGCAGGATTGGACCCAAAAGCAGGGCTCATGGAGGCAGAGGTGAACTTAAGATACTCAGTTTATTACAGGAAAATAAGAAGAACAGAAAACTAACTAAACTGGGAAAACAAATAAACTAACAGGCAGGCAAACGGAACACAGTGAAAATGAGGGTGAGCAGACATTAACGACGCAACAGAGGGCAAAGGAAAACACAGGGCTTATATACACAGGGAGTAATCAGGGAATGGGAAACAGGAGGGAGACACAGCTGGGAGAGATCAGGGCTAACAAGACAGGGGGGAAGTAAAACTGAACACACTGACATCAGACATGAACCTTCAAAGTAAAACAAGAAACAATTTACAAAAACACAGATTGACACTGAACTAAATCTAGAATAATAATCAAAATAGCACAACTAAAGAACCAGAACATAAATCATAATACAGAAATCTACCAAAATATAAGAAACTGCAAAAGCCGGGTCAAAATGACCCAGAACCGTAACACACTTTCACAATAATATTTTATTTGTTTTTTTTTAAGCCAGTTAAGACTGACCAATGAATTATTTAAGCTAAAAAACAACAACAACAAATAAACCAGTGTTTTGTCAACACATACTAGACAAATTTGTGTAATAAAAAGTTTTAAATTGTTTCTTTAGGCAATTTCTTCTAATAGCTTGTTGCAAAATCACATATTTTCCCCCCCATTTTTTTAGTTGAATCTATTAACATTTTCAAAGATAACACAGTTTGGCAGGCATAAAAATAGTATTTTTGTACCAACATGGGGATTCTCAGCTATTCCCAGAAAACTTAGCATATTTCATCATTCCTAAAAATAAATAAATACATTTTTATTTATTTTTTTATTTATTGTTATGTTCTTAAGAAATAGGAGGGAATCCAAGAAAGACCTGACACAGGACCTAAGAGAGGTGTCTGGACCATCAGCTGATCATTCTACTGGTTACAAAAGTCTCATCAAAAATGGTCTCAGTGGAAGGATCGGGGTAAAGAAGCCATTCTTAAGGAAGGGAAATGGAGTTACACTAGAATTTTTGTTTCAAATCATTGTCAGTATGTTTGGAGAAGGTCATGAGAGATGACAACACTGAGTGTCTACAGCTATCTGTAAAACAGTGGAATCTCTGTCATGGTTTGATGCAGTAATTCAGCCAGTGGCGAAGATCTTTTCAAACTTGATGGAATTGTAAACACAGAAAGTGTGTGAGAACATTGTGTTTTCCATTGTGATCCCAGTGGAACACTATCAGCCATACACTGACCTCTCCCGAATCTGGACCCTCAACATTATTGAAGCAGTGTGGGATCATCTTAACAGAAAATGAAACAAAAGGCAGAAACATCAAAAGAAGAATTTTGAATGTCCTTCAAGAAGCCTGGAGAACTATTCCTGAAGACTACTTAAAGAAATGGCAAGAAAGCTGCCTAGGAAAGCTCAGACTGTGCTGAAGAATAAAACTGGTCATACCAAATATCGACTTTGGAAATAATTAAAATTGCAAAAGAGTAAATAAAAATAAAAAAGCTAAATAAATCACTACACCTTTTTCTCACATTTCCTAGCAAAATATAAATAAATTAGGTTTGGAATGAGACTTTTCCTCAGTACTGTAAGTAGTAGCCCACTCGGTCTATATTGAACACAAAAAACGTTGGCTGTAGCTGTAGAGTCTAACTGAAAAGTGAGTCTATCCACATAGCAGACAATATTAGAGAATACAAATATTCAACTAAATTGTTTGTAGCTAACATGCTTCAGCATTGGACAGCTACCAGCTAACTTAACCAAATCGATAAATGGGGAAACAGCAGCAGGTATTTCCACAGGTGGAATCCAGAAGTTTCTGAGAGAAAAATGATGGCAGGAAACCTTGAGCTGCTGAAGTCAGACTGACTCAGGTCTTATGAAGAGAGCTAGAGTATTGTTTATATTGCCAACAGCTCTTTGTCTTCTCCCATCAGATGACTCTGAGGTCAAACCGGGTCCAACTACACCAGACATAAATCCCAAAGATGTGAAGAAGGTGAGAAAAGAAACTATTTATATTTCAGAATAATCTGAAGATTCTAAGATTGGTAGATCCTAACAAACTCTTTGAATGCCTGTTGTGAATTTATAAGATGAAACTAACAAACTTCACTACACTACACATGAATAATTATCATATTGCATCAAGCTTTAGCTTTATACCCTTTCTGTGGGATCCTGATTAGTAAATTTACTGTCAGGTTCTATAGCCCATGCTCACAGGTGTACACACGGGCGATCACACCCACAAACTACACCCTTTTTGGCTCCTACCTCAAAGCACACTGTGTTCTGTTGATCTTATGTGCTGCACAATAATGTTTAATATTTAGTATTTACTGTCATATTCCCATATATCATTGTGATGTTGTTTATTCTATTACTCTTGTTCTCTTCTGCTTGTTTTCTTTTTTCTTTCTCAGCAGGTGATCCAGGTGATCGATATATGCATTTTTTTTCTTCTGCCCGTTCTGTTGGTTTTTGGTTTTTGCCCTTCTCCCCCGTCCCTCTTCTCAGCTGTTTCTCTTTCCCCAGTCAAGTCTGTCCCGTATTCAGCAAGTGAAAATAAAACAAACAATAAAAGGTGAATCAAATGGACCATTACGGCAAGGCTGGGATGGTCAATTTGGTAAAGTAAATCCGTTGGGCATCTTTCTTTGCCTTTAGACAACAATTCTGATGGCAAAAGAGCCAAACGGGACAGGCAAAAAAAAAGAGGTTCTATAGCCCGGTATTCTCACACTGTACATACAATTTATCTGTAAAGCATGCTTAAGTTAAGTTTTCACCATTTATTAACAAATGTTTCTGTCTAAATTCCAGCTTCCATCCAGCTTCATACCTGAAGTAAAAAATGAATGTGCACAAATCTCCTACAGGTAACAACATCATAAATCCACAGCTGTAACAGCTTTCATGTCACATTCTCAGTAAATTTTCTATAAAATTTCTGTTGTTCTCATGTCTCACAATTAGAACAACACAGATTATGCAGAACTCTGGGAGCATTTTAGCATTAAATTTTGGATAATACTTTTAATGCACACTACAGGAAAATCTTTAGCTGTGTTTTTCATCTCATTGAAGACAAAATTAGGGAAATGTAGAAAAATAAAACAAGCTTTCCTTTGAACCACCAACAGAAACTACTATAATTTCTGTTTCACTCTTTCATCATTAGTGGAGGTGCTACAGGAGTAAATGCTCCTGGAGTTACCTGCATTAACTTTGATATATGTTTTACTTTTGTCTGTGTGCTCCCTTTTTGGTCAGTGATCGTGAGGCGGAGTCTGATAGGAACAAATTTTTACATTTTAGGGTTTAAAAGTTCAGGTCATACAACCTTTATGTTATATCCTGCAGGTTCAAGTGTCCTGGTTCAGGTTTGTTCCACTGTATTCTGACTGGACTGGTGTTTGATATGACTCGAGAGGCAGAGCTCCTGTACAAAATCATCCAGTGGGATGAGAGCGTCCTCCAACCAGCTGGAAAGATGGCTGCAGGGCCACTGTTCGACATCAAATGTTGTGAGGATGCTGTCCGTCAGCTACACTTCCCACACTGTGTAAAAACACAGGAAGGTGAGCAGATTATTTTTGACAGTAATGCCCACAATAATCACCCACTCACCCCAGAGACTTGTTGTATGTCTGCCTTTGTGATGTTGACTGGCTCTTGCTCTGGGTGGTTGCTGCAGTCTGCTCTTAGGTCCACCAGCCACTTGGCAGTGGTGTTGTGTGACACCTCTTTCTCCCAAATGTTCTCCTAATATTGCTCAGTTCCAGTTGTGTTGTGTTGTTATTCTCTTGAAGCTGAGAGTACATGCTGGATAGATCTTTGGAGAGCAGGCTGTTTATTTTCATGCTCTCTGCTTCCCTGATATATTTCTTCAGCCTTGATAATTCATATTGATTGACTTTTACATGTACTCAACTATGTGTGTGTGTGTCGCTATATGTGTATATGAATGGGCACAAATATACATACAGATTCTCACTATGAGTCACACGTGAACATAGTCGTGCACATGAGCTCACTCACTGAAAATGGAGAAAGTGAAAGTGCACGGTCATATTGAAGTGATTGATGATGATCTTAGTAATATGAATTCATTCCAGACAGCATGTTGAAAAGAAAGGAACAGAGAAGAGATAAGAGAGTCAGAAAAGGGATAAAAAGGCTGTTTGTAAGAGTGGGTAGTTAAAATGAGTGGATCAGTGGGTGTTCAGATAAATACATGTCTGTTGACTCTGTGTTTTCACAGCTCTGCTCTCTGATGGCCTCCTGTCTGTTGCCCACTTCACTGATGATGCAATGAGCTTCATCAAACCACTAAAGATCACAGATACTCATGTGATTGTCGATAACCCCCACCTCTCTGCCTTTGGCCTTGTCCTGGATTTCCTGATGGGCATTTGGAACAAGCAAGTTAAGGGGCAAGTTTTATTGTTCCTCAGTCCACCAAACCATGCAAAACAGACTCAAAACATCAATGTGCTTCTTCTGCCAAGAAACATCCCCATGACTGAGGTAAAAATTCATTATTCTTACAGCTTCATCTTTTTCATTGTGTCAATAGAATCCAGTTTAGTGCATAGTTGTGTAGCTTTATATTCACTTGGAGTTGTAGCTACCAACAATGAATGTGAACATTGATTAAAAATGGATGTGGCAGGTGGAACCACAATGTGTTCCAGTGTAGATGTGCAGTGGGAGAAATGAATCACTTACAAATAAGTCCCATTATAATTTCTGGTACTAATAATTGATTTTCTTTGTGGACAGGCTGTGAAAAGCTGACTTGTGCTGTTGCTGTTGTAGCATTTCCTTCTTTGTGGAGCACATGGTGTTTAGACATTATGGCTGCCCACCAACCCACAGCCAGTTTAAAGTGTTACTAAAAAACATCTTCATCTTAAACTGATCACTTCTATCAAAATCCTTGTAAAAGCAAGTGTATTACATAGCAGCCATATTTAAAAGACAATTGGCTCCTTACTTTGGTAGTTACTTTAAAGCTTTATGTAAATAAACTTTAATTCAATGTTTTGGAAATTAAAAGAAACACTTGTATGAAACCAGTAGTTGCACCTGATTAAGGCTAGCTGACTTGTAAGGTTTTAAAAACTTTCTCCAGTAATCTAAACTTCTATCCACCATCTTTACCAAAATTCTCCAACTGTCACAATGTGTGATGGCAGATGGCGTGGAGGTTGTGTTGTTCGGACCCAAATGCAGACAAATGAGTCACAACTGAACTTTAACTACATTCATCTCTCTCTCTAATATCTCTGCTGCTACCCAGAACATAACCAAGCAGTGATTATAAGCATCCATTACTGTATACTGCACAACAATACCAAACTCCTAAATATAAACTCCTGTTTATATTACCCTTAGCTATTCAGTAACCATTTTAGCTGTCAGTCATGCATTTTTTTTCTGGAAAAACAAAAATTAATTAGAAAAATAGTTTAATGATAACAAATCAAAGTTTCAATTAAAATGCCAAATGTTTGCTGGTTCAAGTGTATCCCTTCTTAAAATTTGTAGATTTTATTTGGTGTCATTGTGTAAATAGTTTCATGCAGGGATAAAACTTTATATAAAATGTTCTGATGACTCTTAAGGTAAGCAAGCATCATCAACCTTCCCACTTCATCCTGGTGCCTTCTGCGTGTAACCTCATCAAAAATACGACCTACACCGTTCACTGTCTCGTGGCCAATAAAATCCAACCCAAAGTAAGTACTCTGAAGAAAAGTTGTCCAGTACTTTAATGAAATGGAGGCATCAAGCTGTGTGTAAAATAATACCAGCAATATCAAAAATAATCACCCTGTGTCTGAAATGCAGATATTCTCTACATTTAACATTTAATTTGACTTTTTGAATCAAGATGTTGTACGTTTTATGTTCATGTAGGTAGCATGTAAGGATTTATTGGCAGAAATATCAGTGTCTACAATGGAGGAAACTATAAACAGAATCTGGGCCTTAGGTGTACAAAACTATGCCATCCACATGAATTGAGACATGAGATGATAAGAGGAATGGGGTTACAATCACTTAATGAGACTGCCATAGTTAAAGATACTGATTAGGGCTGGGCGATATGACCCAAAATTCATATCTCGATATTTTTTAGCTGGATGGCGATATAAGA